TTAATTATACTTGTCAAACCCAACCCATATTAACTAAGCTTGTGGTTTTTAATATTTCCTTTTTCTAAGAATGTAGCTCGATCTTCTTATAATCCTACCCACTTAAAAAATCTATCTATATATCTAGGTCATCTCTAAAAGATAAGAAAAACAAAAAATAAATAAATAACTGTAATGCTATGTATTTTCACATTGCAAATCATGAGCAATTCCTTAATATCAAGTGTCTAGTCAGTATTAAAATTTTCCCACTGTCTCAAACTCTTTTAGAGTTGGATTGTGTGAATGAAGTTCCAAACAAGGTTCACACATTGCATTTAGTTGACACATCTTTTAAATCTCTTCTAATTGATAGGTTTCCCCATCCTCCTTCCTTTTTTCTCACAAACCTCGCAATTTACTTTTGTGTGCCCTACAAAATTCTCCACTTTCTGGATTTTGCTGTTGTATCCCCACCACTTTTGTTTAGAATATGTCTCTAGTTCTTTACACATCCTGCAAGTTGGCAGCTGGATCTAGATTCTCAACCAGATTCAGGATTGTTTGCCATTAAATAGGCCGTATGTGGTATGACACACTTTCTGGGTCATCTCAAATGATACTCCTTTCATGAGGCTCAAATTTGCCTTTCCTGCCCGTCTTCCAAGATAAACAAAAAAACATAAAAACTGGACATTCTTTCTCCTTTCTTGAACTCCTCATGGCAACAACCACAAAGAAGCTTACTATCTATACCTCTCCTATCACTAATCTGACCAGAAACTCCTCAAACCCCAAGGAGAGTCTTATCCGAGTTTGAAACCATTGGAGTCCCTGGCACAGTTCCTTAAATAGAGCAAAATTAGGTACTACTTGGACTGAACTCCAGGTTTCTTTTTTACCTTTTTTGGGGAAATGATTAAGCATATAAAAACCCGTGGTTCAAGCCACATCTTTGTTTCTCCTTCAAAAATAGCATAAATTGAACATAACTAATATTTCAGGAAAAAGATACTATTGCTATCATCATTTTATTTATATCTCATGGTGAATATTTAATCTATTTCAGATTCTTTTTCTAATCCTAGATGACTAACATGAAAAGTAGCACACTGTAATTCTAAATAAAGATTGGCTGTTTTTTAAAAGGGAAAATAAAATTTAAAAACAGTGGTTCAAGAAGTCAGGCACAGGGTTTAAATGAGGAAAATAAAGGGGCTACTTTCTTCAACTCTCAAGGTTAACACCGTGGCAAATAACTGATATTCTTCATTTAAGAGAAAAGTTCTATCAGCCTACTGAACCTAATTATAGAGATTACAATGCATAACCACACACAATCAACCACAACCCAAGTGTTTCTAATAAGTGCCAGTGAATATATTATTTTTAAGAATTTATACAATTCGGGCGCCTGGGTGGCTCAGTTGGTTAAGCGGCTGCCTTCGGCTCAGGTCATGATCCCAGGGTCCTGGGATCGAGCCCTGCATCGGGCTCCCTGCTCAGCGGGGAGCCTGCTTCTCCCTCTCCCTCTGTCTGCTGCTCTGCCTACTTGTGCTCTCTCTCTCTCTCTCTCTCTCTGTTAAATAAATAAATAAAAATCTTTTTTTAAAAAAAGAATTTATACAATTCTTACAAAAGAAAAACAGGGCGCCTGAGTGGCTCAGTTGGTTAAGTGTCTGCCTTCGACTCAGGTCATGATCCTGGGGTCCTGGGATGGAGCCCCACCTCAGGCTCCCCTCAGTGGGGAGTCTGCTTCTCCCTCTCCCTTGGCCTCCTCCCCCCTGCTCATGCTCTGTCTCTCAAATAAAATCTTTAAAAAAGAAAAGAAAAGAAAAACACTAGAAAAACAACCATTTAAGGCTATGGTGACTGTTTCTTGGAGACTCTTCTAAAATATGCCTTTTTTTTTTAAGATTTTATTTATTTATTTGAGAGAGAGTGAGAGCGAGAAGAGATTACAGAGGGGGAAGAGAAGAAGCAGACTTGCTGCTGAGCAGGGAGTCCGAAGTGGGGCTCGATCCCAGGACCCTAAGATCATGACCTAAGCCGGAGGTAGACGTATAACGACTGAGCCACCCAGGCGCCCTAAAATATGCCTCTTTCTAATGGGTGATTTTTCTTTATATCTAATCACTGACTGACTTAACAGCCTGTTCTTAAAATCAAGCTGCAAAATCTTTTTTTTTTTTTTTAAGATTTTATTTATCAGAGAGAGAGGGAACACAAGCAGGGGGAACGGGAGTGGGAGAAGCAGGCTTCCTGCTGAGCAGGGAGCCCGATGCAGGGCTCGATCCCAGGACCCTGGGATCATGACCTGAGCTGAAGGCAGACGCTTAACGACTGAGCCACCCAGGCGCCCCAAGCTGCAAAATCTTTTAAGGAGTGGTGGTAAAGATACTACTTCACTAACAAAAGTTGCAATCATATAGAAATGTAAGGAAGGTTTTGGGGTTCCATTTTTGTTTTTGTCACCTTAACTTTAAGTACGCTTAGGAAAACTCTGACCCATCTTCACCAATGGCACCCAAGCAATCACTAGCAGCATCTGTCCATCCACTCTCCTTCCACAGGCACGCCATATTTTCTAGTCTTTCCTCCCACAACTCCCCCTCTCATTCCCTTTTCCTTGAGTCTGACTCCTCAGCCCATAGCATGGGCACTTTTATAGATACAATTTAGCCTTCCTGTGGGACTTAAGGATTAAAAAGTTTTCCCTGGTATCTGGCAGAGTAAACAAACAAATACATTATTAATCGGAAAAGATCCACCACCAACAACTGCTTTTCCCTAAAAGATATAGTAGGAAATATATTTTTTAAACTCCATGATTTTATTTAATTAATGAAAAGCTACTCTTTAACAGATAGGTCTGCTTTTATCATCACCAACATCATTATTATTAACAGGGTGTTCATTATGATGTTTAACATGTTATGTGTAGTGAGTGATCTACATGCTTTATTTCATTTAATCCTCACAATAAGCCCCAATATGACAAATGGAAAAAAAAAAAACTGAAGCATAGAGGGGTTAAGCAATTTGCCCAAGGGCAAATTATAAATAAATGGCAGAGCCAGGATAGAACCCAGAGGTCTTTGACTTTTAGCTTCTTGGTTAGAGTGTGTTACTTTCCTAATGCTCTTATGGTTTTATAACTTTGATGTAAGAGGTCTATTATTAATTCATTCCACAAATAACTGAGTTTTACTGAACATTTGGCATTGTGGTAGGCAATGGGATAAAAATAAAATAAAAAAAACTGACATAAAATCACAAGAGCACTAATAACAGTTGAATATAATTAACACAAGCATAAATGTTACTTATAAATCAATTTGAACCTGGCTGCTGGAAAGATTTCTGGGAGATTTCTACAGTAAAAAAGACCATAAAAACAGCTACCTTTGAATGACAGGTGCTCATTACTCATTCACCTCCCCTCTTGTTTCTCTATGTTCCCACAAAGGCCCAGGGGTTCTGACAGTTTTTCAGCATCAGTAACATTTTAAACAGTAACAGTATTGCATTTCTGAAAAGAATCAGAAATGCTCCAAGATGAGATTTCTGGACTATGCAAACATTAACTTAGACTTATTATTAAAATACTAGAAAAAAAGCATGCCTCATCAGCACCAAAAGTCACCTGGGAAGAGTGCAGATCAGTAAGAGTGCTAGAAAAGTGGGCGCCTGGGTGGGTCAGTTGGTTAAGCAACTGCCTTCGGCTCAGGTCATGATCCTGGAGTCCCGGGATGGAGTCCCGCATCGGACTCCCTGCTCAGCAGGGAGTCTGCTTCTCCCTCTGACCCTTCCCCCTCTCATGCTGTCTCTCTCTATCTCATTCTCTCTCTCAAATAAATAAAATCTTAAAAAAAAAAAAGAGTGCTAGAAGAGTGCTGGAAACCATGATCATACTTAAAGACAGGGTGACAATTGCGCTGCCTGGGCCAGTAATGCTCAGCGCTTCCCTTAGTAATGGAATTCAGTCAAAGGTGGCTCAAAGAGCCATGTGAGCTTCAGTTTCCATGGGGAGAAGAGAAGGCCAAGATGCCCAGACTAAGAACCTCTAAGAGAATCTGGGATTCTCCCCCAGTTCCCATCATTGACAAGTAGGCCGGCAGCAGGGTCATGCAGGGTGAAACTAAGGCTTCCTTCCCTATATAATCCAAAACCCGGGGTCTGGACTAAGAGATTCCTTAAAAGCCCAGCCAGAAGCATAGGCATCTCTACATAGAGAAACTTCCATAGGCTGCTTTTGCTGATTCCAGACAGTTGCCTGGTGTTACTCCACTGCTAACAACATGTTTAACCACTGGGCTGAACTTCTACGTCAACTTACCTTGTGTACAAAAGGCAACATAAAAGAGAATAAATGCTGACAATCACAAATTTATCAATAAGCCATCCAATGCACTTTATTTTGAAAACACTTCTATAAATGCTGATTTATTTACTACCCATTTCAGTCTCAACAAGTAAATATCAAGTAATAAATGTAGTTCTCATTTAGAAGTGATATAAGTAAAAGTTTATTACATGCACTGCTTATCTTAGCCCTACCTATTTCTAGAAGAGTGTCCTAAGAACCTGGGGATATTTACTGAAGGATGAGGAGGACTAGAAAATGAGGAAATTTATGACTGCTACCATATTACAACAGAATAAACAGGCAGTTCTTTCAAGAATATTAGTATTTTCACTTTTTTCTAATTTATGTTAAAAGTGGTAATGCGCTTCTATCAGAGATTTCAAGGTAAACACAAAAAAATCACAGCTGCATTTCATGTTCTACCACTTACCAATTTGCTCTTCTATAACCTTGACTGATCCAAATTATTTTACAATTTAAATATTTTTGTTTGAAGCACTGGCACCAACACCAACATTTTAAATTTTAATTCCTGCTACTTTAGAGAACCTGTCTTAATCTCTTAACTAAATTTAAAACTTCACATTATACATGTGGCAAAGGGTGAATCTGATGTCTTGGCTTAAAATGTCATAAAAACTTGTTAAAGTACCTTTTAATAGGGACACTTTAGCAAGAGGTTCATTTAGGTCTTGCTCATCCATTTGGGCGTCTGCAGGGGGCAAAAAAGATAATTACAAACAGTAGTTAGCTTCATCCTCAAGCTATCACTATCAAAATAAACAACTAAAACTTATATAGCTATCGTACCTGGATAGTTGAAAGTAATTTTAACAATACATCCAAGATTCAAGGGAGTTAACTTTGAAAATGGAGACTGCTTCCCCCACCTCGCTAGCCAACTCCCCCCCAAACACAAACTTAGAAATCTCCACCCACATTAATCTGCATACCTAAACTGCTCGGCCAGTAACAATAACATCTGTAAGACTTGCAAACATTAGGTTACAACTCACCTGTAGTGTCGTCACTACTCTTTTCCTTGCTTGGACTCAGAGTATCTGACAAATCAGATTCTTTTGCTCTTGCCTGGTTTTCTACCAAGAAAAAAATGAAAGTAGAATCTCATTACAACTATATCAATAAAACTGCTTTAGGCTTTGAGTGCTCTAAATCTAGTGATATGCAAAATACTTTTAAAATTAACTGAGGTCATCACTCTAGTCCAAAATGGAATGTTGGTTATTATACGTGGCTCATATTAAATTATAATGTGGATCATGTCTGCTGTGCAGAGGGCTGGGGCTTTTGTCAAGGCTGTCCACTGGCCAACCAGAAACAAAAATGAAGCAAGCTTTGCTAAAGTATTCAGAGAACTGCAACAAATATAGCAAAATCCAAAGACAATGTGGACACTATATGAAGATGATGCAAGGAAATGGCTCTCTTATATAAAAACACTAGCTAGGTTGCCTTAGCAATAGTGATACTTAGTAATATTTATATTTATATAAAACTCTAAAATGACAACTGTTATAAAAATGACATTTAAAACAAGAAAATCACAACCTTTTTTATCTTAAAAAAATATAACTGTACCTGAACCACATTGAGAAAGACTTAAAAAAAGTTTTGGGATTATTTGCAAGTGGTGCGCTGCCTAGCCGATGAAGACATCCTAGGCCACATTTTCAACAAGTTGCTCTCAAATATCCTAACTATTAGCCCAACAATTTATTAAAGATGACTGACAGGCTGTTGATCCTTATCTATAATTGCACACCTGTGTGTATTATGGCATGCATTAGAATAGCGTTTACAGAGATGGTCATTTCTCTGACCAAAATCCTACAGCACCTCCCCATTCTCTACAAGGCTCAGCCAAACTTTATATCCCAGGATTTAGCTATAATTTAGTCCCTGAATTAATTCACACATGAGCTCCATTTCAGTCAGGCTAGCCTCTTTACAGGGCTGAGACATGCTGGCTCACTATGATCTCCAATTCTTTGCTTGAGTTGATATTTCACTAAACTCAATGACCATTCTCTCTACTTGGCCTATTCAATCTGTGAGATACAGCTTAAGCCCCTCACCTCTAAGGGAGTCTTCATTTCTCCAGCATGCTGCTCCTTTTTATTGTATCTTCTCTGTATCCTATGATTTTGTAATTAATCATATTCTATTTTATATCATTCTATGTGTATTTATGTATCTTATTTCTTTAGATTATAAATTCATTGAGTATATGATTATTTTTTAGAATTTATTGCTGTTGTTTGTGTAACACACATCAAAAATTTAAATATGCATATCCCCTTCTAGTACTTTTCCAAAGGAAAAACAGACTACATATAATATATATAAGGATGTTCACTGCAGCATTGTTCATTATGGAATGGAAAATACTCGAGATATATTCCTTACTATTAAGTAAAAATAAAGGTTGTTAAAGAACAGTATGTATAATATGATCCCATTTAGATTGAAAATAGCTATATATTTAGCTATGAATCTTCAGCTGTGCATATTTACTCAAGTCTGGAAGGATCCACAACAGAGATACCCATTGTCATTTCTGGAGGTAGGGACATGGCAGATATTTACTAACTTCATATTGTCATACATTTTTGAAAACTGTTAATATATATTGTTTTATAACCAACTAAATCAAGAGATATTTTCCATTTTGAAAGTAATCAGAAACATATCTAAAACCATTAATATTAAAATATATTTAATACAATGTTAAAATATAACTTCTTATGGCTATTCCATTAAGAATATCCCTAGAATTTGAAGTAGGTGATAGATTACAAGAAGCCTTTTGCTTCTTTTTTCACTGCCATTTCTAGTCAAAGGCCAACTGCTGAGAGACACAGAGCTTAGATTAGAAGTGAAGTCACTGACAATGGAGACCCATGGGAATCCAATCTGTGACCTCTGGTGCATTCAGTGTGCTATAATCAGACATTTCTGAATGTTCTAGTTTTAATCACAAAGTTACAATCTCAAACAAGCCAGGCTAATACATCTAATCTATACATAGATGGAAAAGGAACCATTCTCAGAGAATAAAAAAATGACTCTCTTCTGATTTTAATATTCTTGGCAATTTTACGATCAAGATATTGAGGTAAACCAGGAAGAATATGTTTTCAAAAGGATTCTTCTGGCTTAGGAGGAACTTTTATTTTATATTTAGAGTATTAGCCAGAAAGGTAAAATTAAAGGTGGGACCAAATCTTCCATTAAGATCTTACTAGAATATAAGTACCATGAGGGCAGGGATTTTTGTCTGTTTTGTTAACTGCTATATCCTCATTGCAGAGAACAGTGTACAGTACATAGTACATAGTAGGTGCTCCAAAAAGAGTATGTTTGAAGGCAAGAATCTATTTTGAGTAAGAAGACAAGTCAAATCATGGCCTATCATTGTTATGTCCTGAAATTATAACTGTTATATGGAGGCAAACCAAATCTATTCAAGAATGAAACACAGGACACAACAAATGAGAGGTAGAGTATCTCTTCCTTTTCAAAACATCTGTTCTTTAGCTATGAAGTGGCACTCAGCTTTCTAGTATTAAAAAATCCTTACTGGTTGATTTTCTATGCAGTACTTAATCATTAAGATACATACCAATAATATATAGAAAGAAACAGAAGAATAGCTACCAACATCAATACCAAAACTGTTCCCAAACTGGAAAGTCTACAACAACGTGAGTATTTTCACTGTATCTCTGAGAACACATAATGATGGATGGGCAAAACAAACATACTGGCCACAGACCACTTCCTACACCAATGGAACCATTAGTTGGAAAGAAAGCAAGAAGGGAAATGAGAATTAACATTTGTCAAATACCAGAATAACACTTCTTGCTTTATAAGCAACATTTCATTAAATTCCCATGAATTCCCACAGTTAAATATTATCAATTCCATTTTATAAATGAGGAAACTGAAGTTTAAAGAGTAAGTTGCCTGAGGGCATATAGCTAGCTAGTTAGTTGTGGAACCTGGATTTGAAACCATCTGTTTTACCTATTAGTATTCTTTCTACTTCTACCCTAAGGCTTCAGCAAACATACACTAGTTGAGTGAGGGTTTAAACAGAAAGCACATGCAACCTATGATTACATTTTGCATTAGGTGAAATATCTGAAATACTAAGACTTATAATACCTGGTAATTGGCTATCTCTAGCAACTGTTATTTTCAATACAGAAAAGAAATTCTATCAAAAACATCATCCATGAAAGGCTCTTAAAAATAAAACAACTTAGGGTGCCTGAGTGGCTCAGTTGGTTGAACAACTGCCTTCGGCTCAGGTCATGATCCTGGAGTCCCAGGATCGAGTCCGGCATCGGGCTCCCTGCTGGGCAGGGAGTCTGCTTCTCCCTCTGACCCTCCCCCCTCTCATGCTCTATCTCATTCTCTCTCTCAAATAAATAAATATTAAAAATAAATAAATAAAAAATAAAACTTAGCCAAATCCAAAAGAAATACTTTATAGCCAGATACAAAGCATTTAAAATGTAACTTATCTCAGCCATCTAGTTTGTTACAAGGATTAGTGTACTCTGCATGCTAACTTTGAGAAATGCTTGTAAAATGCTGACTGCTGACAGAAAAATCTCTGGGTATATAAAACTTGGATCTGTATTATCATTCTTAAAGGATGTATTTTAGTCACTTGCATGGACTTACTTGTTATTATTTATTTAATAAATGCCCTCATTACTCAACATTTATGTTTTCCTCTTTTTGCTTTTAAAACACTGAAGGAAATCCCTTGCATATTTGTCCAATTTGTTTCTTAATATAAAAACCCAGAAGTGGAATTGCTGGATCAAAATGCATGCTCTTTAAAGCTTTTAACACATTTTATAGCCAGGTTTCAAAAGTAAATCAGTAAAGATGGCACAAATCTTTTTCAATAATGATATCACATAATTTCAAGCAAATATATTCTAATTCAGAATGCATTAAATAGAAGCACTAAAGTAGCAAGATATTTTCCTTTAATTAAAGGACTGATTTTTTTTTCTAAGGCTCTACTTCCACTTCAGTGTGCTGGCTATTCAACTAATCTGCATAGGCATTTGGGTGGTGAAGTAAAAGCTATGTTAAAATCTGTTCTCATCTCACTTTAATTAGATGAAATAAATTGCCACATGTACTAAAAATAGTTCACTGCTCTGAAACCCAATGCCTGTTTGCCAGAACAATATTAGTGATGCATATTCTATGCATTCTTTCCCCAAATATGGCATCTGCCACGCACAAAATTCAGAATGGAAGCCACCAGATACTTTAAATAACATTCTCCTTTTAAATATTGTTAAAAGCCAAAATGGATCCAGTTAGTTTCATAAAACAGAATGTACTGAAATGGAGTATTCCAAACTTTTATCACTCATTGTTTTAACTGACCAAAAGGATTGTGAATCTACTTATAAACTTTATGCTGGTAGGTTCTGATGAAAGTCCTAAAATTATAATGAGCATATCATACCAAATTTATTTGTCCAATTTCCCTAATGCATAAGAGTGACTTGACAATGTAATGCTTTAAAACACACTTTTCTTCTCTGACAATTGTAACAGAAGAGAATGAATAGAATAAACTATTTCAGGCAATTTTAAGACTACCCATTATAAATATAAGAAGACGCTACATAATCACTTTTGTTTAAATCAAATTGATATGCCAAAAATTAAGAAAATATTAAATTTCATAAGGAACGTTAAAGGTATGAAAAGCACAGAAATAGAACTGCAAGCATTTTTCACCTGTTGTTTCAAAAAAGATTTACGTTGTGTTTAATTAAAATTTTATATCAAATATAACAAATACCAAATATCAAAACTGAAAATAATGCTAGAAGTGAGACAGATCAGAACAAATCTTTTAAAACCTAACGAAACCTATTTCAAGCACTTTTAAGAAAAAATACATATATATACCCATATAAAAAGAAACTTTCTAATTAAGATACCCTTCTTAAAACAGAACTCCAACTATTTTATATTATATAATACTGTTACTGGATTGCCATCTGGTGAGCTATAAAAAATAAATTGATGGTTAAAATACTATGACCTTGGAAAGGTACACTAACCTCCATTATCCAAAAGAGTGGTCAAAACCCACAGAAAACCAACAGAAAACGAACCTTTTGAAAGCTTTGTTTCTTCTACCACTTTGGTTAGATGCCCCTCGACGATCAGCTTCTCTGCCAAAGAAAACAAATGTTACTATCCAAGCCCAAACCGAGTAGCATTTCCCTGAGCGGGGCAGTGTAACACATTCCATGACCAAATTTAAAGATGATAATATTACTCCCATGACTAGGCTTGTACAAAAACTTGAAGCTGGAAGGAGAACTAAGAAAACTCAAACTATAATAGAGCAATGAGATTAATACAGAAATCTGGTGGTAGGGGGACAATTTGCCTTTAATTTTCATTATTTACCTTATCTAAAAAGCCTAGACCTTTTAAAAAAGGACTCAGAATAAACAAAGAAATCCTCTTTAAATCAAGGATATGAAGTTGAAATAAAGGAACTCTGAGAAAGTATTTATTTAAATACAGAAGTAATATAAATTATGTTACACCAATAGTTTACTTTTCCCTATTGATACAATTCAGCAGAGATGCATATATGACATGCTTCAGTAAAATGAATCTTTTTTTTTTTAAGATTTTATTTATTTATTTGACAGAGAGAGAGAGAGACAGACAGGGAGAGAGGGAACACAAGCAGGGGGAGTGGGAGAGGGAGAAGCAGGCTTCCCGCCGAGCAGGGAGCCCAATGCGGGGCTTGATCCCAGGACCCTGGGATCATGACCTGAGCCGAAGGCAGAAACTTAATGACTGAGCCACCCAGGCACCCCTAAAACGAATCATTTTTAAAGATATTAAAACAAATACTGTTTTGTTTTGTTTTATAGGGGATTCTCTGTAAATGTATAATGTAGCTTCTTTATGATTCATTTAAATTCAGATCGCCATATTCTATATTTTACTGAGAAGGCTATCTGTTCTGTATATCCCCTTATTTAATCCTGTATGTCAGTTGGTCTCCTTGAATTTACACTTTTGCAGTATGTGAAGTCATTTCTCTATTCCTTCACTCTTCAACCCAGTGCAGCTTGGTTTATGCCCACCACTCAACCACTGAAACTGTTCCAAGATCACTATAACCTCCTCTCTGCCAAAGGCCATGGCTCCTTTTCATAATTTTTACTTTGTATAGGCTCTCTGCAGTATGTGGCACTGTTTGCCCCTGCTCCTTAAATCTTTTTTTTAAAAGTCATAGATTTAGATACTTTTAAAAGGCAGTCCTACAAGATGTATAATATAAGCTGTCCTTCCCATCTTCTGTCCAACTCTACTCCATTCTTGAAATTCACTTCCTAAAGAAACAACAACTTTTCTTTCTTTCTTTTTTTTTAAGCAACAACTTTTAACTTCAAGCCATTTCTTCTGGTATTCACATTTATATTTCTAAGTAAAATACTGCTATTTCTTCACTTTTCCATTTTAGACACTACTTACTGACAATCTCTTATAGAGGACTGAAAAAGGACTCAAAGTTCTTTTTTATTATCATCCTCCTAAGAGTTACATTTTGCCCATCTATACTCAGTATGTATATTATGACTATTATTTATATTTGAGTCATATAATATGCTAAAGTTATATTTCTCTGCTTGTACCTTCTTATACAACATGTGGTGATTTTGGAGCTTGCAATACCTTGTTTTATTTTGCTAACTTTTTATATATCTATCTCAAACATAGCCCAAGTTCTTACAGAACCATAAAAACTTTCAATACTGTCAAACGTATCAGGCAATCCATCCCATTATACATCTTTGTCCGTCCCTTCTCCCAGCCCTTTAATACTCCTGCTCCAGTCTGGGCTGTATCCAAAATCCCCTACCCCCAGAATCCAAATCTTTCTTGTCCTGTTTTATTCCCTTGTTTTAGTGTAACATATCCTCAGTTAATTTCCTGAAAGGGGGTTGACAGAAGGTAAGTGCTTTGACTTTGTTCCTCTGAAAATGTTAGTGTTCTACTCTCACATCTGACTGATGGTTTAACTAGATAGACAATTCTACAGGAAATAATTTTCCTTCAAAATTTTGAAAGCACTGTTCCACTGTCCTCTAGCTTCAAATGAGAAGGTGAGTCCTGTTCCTCAGTATGCATGGTAGAGACTTCCTGTGTTCAGCAAAGCCTGTGGTGCCTGCCCTTTCTGGGCACCCGGGGGACTGAATATTCCAAATACCCTAGCACTAACGAAGGTCCACATGACTGGTTCTAGCCAGTGCCAACGCATTTAAGAAAGAGTAGAAGTTTTCTGTACTTCTATCTTCCCTCCATTCTAGAAACCATGTGCTGAGATGGCAAAATTCTTTATCATAAGATGGTAAAGCCTCCATGAACTTAGATCCCTGAATAACAACATGGAACAGTGTTCTCTCCTTCACCATGGACATGTATGTAGCATGAGTGCAAAAAACTATTTGTGGAATTAAGCCATTTAGATTTCAGAAGCTTATTTATTGCTATATTATAATTTAGTTTATTATGACTAACAGAGTATGAGATCCTTTGTTTCTCTTTGGCAATTTTCAGAATCGTCTCTTTATCCCTGGTGTTCTTAAATTTCATATACTCAGAACATGGTCTTTTTGTTTTCTTTTTTTGGTGAAATTCACATAACACAAAATCATCATTTTATATTTTTAAATTTTATTTTATTATGTTATGTTAATCACCATACATTACATCATTAGTTTTTGACGTAATGTTCCATGATTCATTGTTTGCATATAACACCCAGTGCTCCATTCAATACGTGCCCTCTTACAAAATAATCATTTTAAAGAGAACAATTCAGTGGCATTTAGTACATTCACAATGTTATGCAACCACACCCTCCATCCAGTTCCAAAACATTTTTACCACCCCAAAAGGAAACCTCATGCTCATTAAGAATTTACTTCCCATCCTCCCTTCCCAGCCCCAGCTATTACTCGTCTGCTTTCTCTCTGTGAATTCCTATTCTGGATATTTCATATACATACCATCACACAATACGTGAACTTCTGTGTCTGGTTTAGTGTGTGTGTTCTAAAATATATTGTGTTGAGCGTTCAGCGCGTCCTTTCAGTTTAGAAGCTCATTATCTTCAATTCTAGGGAATTACCTTCTATTCCATTTCACTGATAAATTCTTCTCTTTTTCATTCCTCTTTTCCTACTCTCTCCCTTCCCACACTCTGGAAATCTTATTATTCAGATGTTAGAGCTCCAGGACCAATTCCCTAATTCTCCCCCGCCCCTTTTTTTCTTAAATAAAACCTCAAGCCAACTCTTGTCTTTTTTGTTATATTTTGTGGAATATTTCTTCTATTTTCTCTTCTAACACCAACTCAAAAAGATATATGCACCCCCATGTGCATTGCTGCCTTATTCACAGTAGCCAAGATACGGAAACAACCTAGGTGTCCAGTGATGCATGACTGGATAAAGAAATATATATATTACTCAGCCATAAAAAAAAAACTGAAATCTTGCCTTTTGGGACAACACGAATGGACCCTGAGGGTATTATACTAAGTGAAAAAAAAAGTCAGACACAGAAAGACAAATACCATATGATCTCACTTACATGTGGAACTCAAAAAAAAACAACAAGCTCATACATACAGAGAACAGACTGGTGGTTGCCAAAGGCAGGAGGCATGGGGGTGAGAAAAATGGGGGGAGGGGATCAAAAGGTTAAAAAAAAAAAAGACCTTAAGAATAATGCAGAACACAAAAGCCATATGTGAAAGGACAGATAGATTTGACCTCATATAAATTAAAATTTTTTTAAAAGATTTTATTTATTTGAGAGAGCGAGAATGAGAGACAGAGAGAGAGCACATGAGAGGGGGGAGAGTCAGAGGGAGAGGCAGACTCCCTTCCGAGCAGGGAGCCTGACGCGGGATTCGATCCCGGGACTCCAGGATCATGACCTGAGCCGAAGGCAGCTGCTTAACCAACTGAGCCACCCAGGCGCCCTAAATTAAAATTTCCTGATCAAACTCACTATCAATACAGGTAAAGGGCCAGTGACAGACATGGAGAAAGTATGTGAAAAATAAAGAGCAGATAAAAGGTTATTATTCATTCACTGAACAACTAATTAGGGGGTACCTACTATGTGCCAGATACTCTCCTAGGTGCTAGAAACATTAGAATGAACAAATGACAAAATTCCTGCGCTCCTGGTTCTTACATTCTAATGGGGTGAGGAGGGAGAGGTGATAAAGAAGTAAACAAATATCAGATGGAGGTTATGTAGAAAAATAAAGCACGGAAGAAGGAAAGGGAGCATGGGGATGGCAAAGATGTGAGGCCCTCCAAAAATGAATAAGAAAAAGTCAAACAACACAGTGGAAAAGGGGCAAAGAATAACAACATTGAATTCACAGACCAAGAAAGGCAAATGTCCAGTAAATGTGAAATTTATGGTCTACCCACTGAAACAATGCCGGGGCATTATTCGCTCATCAGTTTGGCAAACATTCAATACCAGGAGGGGTGAGTGAGCAATCTTGTGTCCTTCTGGTGGGAGTGTAAATTGGTATCATTTTTTTTGAAAGATTTTATTTATTTATTTGGCAGAGAGATACAGAGAGAGAACAAGTAGGCAGAGAGGCAGGCAGAGGGAGAGTGAGAAGCAGACTCCCTGCTGAGCAAGGAGCCCGATGCGGGGCTCGATCCCGGGACTCCAGGATCATGACCTGAGCCGAAGGCAGCCGCTTAACCGACTGAGCCACCCAGGTGCCCCTCATTTTTTTTTTTTTTTTAGAGGGCAATTTTGACAGAACTTATCCAAATGTTGAAAGCCCATGTCCTCTGACCCACAGCCCCTATTCTGTGTATTACTCTGGAAAGAGACAACTGTACAAAGATTTTCAATGCAGCATTGTCTGTATTTAGGGAGGGAGTGAAATACAAAATTTTTATAGCTTTACCAAGAAAAAAGAAAAGTATTAATCTTCAAGATCTCTGTCACAACAACAAAAATTCATTTTAAATAGTATTAACTACATTTGCATAATTTCTAAATGTTGATGTCTAGTCTAGCTCTCTCTCTTAGGTCTCAGAACACTATTGTCTAACTACTTCCCAAACATCTTCATCCAGAAGTCCCTTGGGAACTTCATCTC